CGTTTTGACATAACTACGTCTTGTATGAATTTGTTTGGAAACAAGGAAATAGGTCCGGGTCCTTATCCGATAGCAATTGATTCATACAACAAAATTTTCTGTTTGGTCTTTTTCCGATAGCAACGTCTTAATAACAAGAAGAAGAAAGGTCCTCGTCATTATCCAATAGTTATTGACGACATGAAAATACTGATACAAACTAACCTAACACATGGTGAAATGAGCGCAATATATAAACAAAAACAACAAGTGTCAACATGTCTACAAAGTCATATTCTATATTTAAAAAAAATAAGACAAAATATATGAAAATAAATATTTACACCGAGAGTCCTGAAAAAAGAAAGAGAATACCCAGATGTTCCGGAAGAGTGATCGTGTTCTGGTTTACCGAGAACATCCGCCATGTACATTTATGTAACTAAATGAAAAAGTCGTATAAAACAATGGAAGAAACAGACAACTAACCACAATAAACACACAATCAGTTCCAATTTCTATCAAAGCGTGCACAACTACTGCATCATCTATGAAGTCACCAACGAAGACTGTAGACGTAATTGTATATCAGCGATAGGCGCCAAAAAACAGCATTCGTGCACGTAAAGGGGTTTTGTGTCAATTTCATGGCCAAATTACCATAATTTATCATTGATGTCATGAAAGAAGAATTTCATATCTTGAGGACACGTCGGTAGTTGAAAAGTGAAATTACAAAATATAAAATAATTGGTGATTATTATTAACTCAAATTTAATCTTTTTAGCGATATAATCCATAATTTATAACCATATATACTAATGTAGTCATTTTCCAGATGAACAAACATCTATTTTTAAGACAATAATACATATATTAAAACAGAAAAGTAATCAATTACTTTACTATTTGACAAAAATACGCTACACAAGATTTGTGAAATAGCGCGAGCCGTTAACAGAAGTGTTATTCGGGTATCACAATGCACTCTGGAACAGATTGGTCCAGCTTCATATCACACGACACCCTGTGTTTTCAGTTTACCTGTCAGTTGTCGACATTTACACGAAAATTGTGATATTGGGAACATGTCTTTGAATATCTTATCATCTGTGGATTATAAATACCATACGTTGGGATTGCAGGGATGTTGCTATCCAGAAATGAGAAGTTCATAATAGGAAAATTGAAATCATCACGTTTGTCATACAACATACAGAAAAGCTGTCTATGGTGGTTTCGTTGAAGAAAAATATCAAGGTAAGTGTCAGGTGTGGCAGAGTTAGTTGATTTCCTATTGTGGTGGGTATGTAGGAACTACATGGATATTAAATTTCTAGTTAAAAGCTGGACGTCATATCTGAAATCCCATCGAATAAAAAACAAAAAGGTCAGCCGAGAGGAGGGCACAGTTTGTTCTTATAGGTATGTCATTAATTTATTGGATAGGATAATATAAGGGAGAAATTCGATCATTTTTAATGATGTCGTCAACCTTTTTTTTCTCCTTCTTCTTCTTCTTCTTCTTCTTCTTCTTCTTCTTCTTCTTCTTCTATTTTGTTACATTGGACGTATTTTTGACTTCAGTATAGTTCACTGTTCACCATTCTTTGAAAAAAAATTAATTACCAGAGAATGAATGGGATATAGAAGTTTACATAGCGTAAGATCCAATAATCATATACAGGTTTTTGTTTAAAATGACGCTGTTAAATGCTTTAAATAAACAAATATATCGTAACTATTTATCGCCCTGACATCTACTAATCAGCTAATGATGATTATATATTATACCAGTTGTTAAGTGAAAAACCACTGTTGTTTAACCACTGTAATTTAGTGTTGTTTAACCAATGTAATTTACTGTTGTTTAACCAATGTAATTTAGTGTTGTTTAACCAATGTAATTTACTGTTGTTTAACCAATGTAATTTACTGTTGTTTAACACAATGTAATTTAGTGTTGTTTAACCTCTGTAATTTAGTGTTGTTTAACCAATGTAATTTACTGTTGTTTAACACAATGTAATTTAGTGTTGTTTAACCAATGTAATTTAGTGTTGTTTAACCAATGTAATTTACTGTTGTTTAACCAATGTAATTTACTGTGTTGTTTAACCACTGTAATTTAGTGTTGTTTAACCAATGTAATTTAGTGTTGTTTAACCAATGTAATTTACTGTTGTTTAACCAATGTAATTTAGTGTTGTTTAACCACTGTAATTTAGTGTTGTTTAACCAATGTAATTTAGTGTTTAACCGCTGTTATTTACTGTTGTTTAACTATTGTGTAACATCTGTATCATTGTTATTGATTGTCAATACGATCCGTTGCACTTTGGATGATTGTAAAAGTCACATAACTTGTCTATTGCAGTAAATAATGAATAAACATGAATACACAGTTTAGCTCAATGTAACAATCAGTCGGTGCTGATAGTATATGTACCAGTATGATTTTAACGAAATGCAGCAATTTTGGTACTAAGATACATTTGTTATTGATTCCGAATACCATTAATGACTGTCTGACGCTATCAAGCATGAAGGAGAACAGAGGTGTATATTAACAGACGAAACATTTTAATGAATTATTCAGCATATAACCCTTTATGACACCACTTTCTGTTCTGGAAATAATCACACTAATAAGTGTGACCATGGCTCGTCTGCGTTGTTTCTTTTTATTGACTTATTTAGTTAGTAGTTCACTGATATTATGACTATTTTCCATTTTGTCAAACCGTAAATATACATAATTAATCCATCTGTAGATCTTACAACAAGATACACACTCTATTTCTGTTGAAGTTTTACACAAAAGTGACTTCAGGGTATTATTATGAATATCCCATTCATCCAACCATCCCATTTTCGTTTTTTGCTTCATTATACATCTATATGTTTGTATATGTAGATAGAAATATAGAAATGTCGATACCGTGCACTTATACCAGGATAAAAAGATGATATATCTGTTGGCCTTTTCTATTGTGTTTACTCAAGTGTAATATAAAGGAGTTGTTAGTCGTACCGTACTTTTTTATATATCGCAACTATCATGTCTATATCACATATACTCACGTCTATAAAACATGTTCTTTATTGGAATCATTTGTCCTTGGCATATTACCAAGTTCTGAATATAACAAATGACTCTCCAACGCCATGAAACATACATGGAAATAAAGGTATATACATTTCAAGCTATAAGAAGGGGCGTGAATAATTTTAAATGAAGAGGTTTCCCCAGTGTTATTATACGGTAAAAAGTTGTAGTTCAGTCTAGAAAGTTAATTATTCTCCCAAATAGTACCAACATAGAGTTTGTCAAGTACTGAAGCCTAGCGACACAATGAATCTTGGCAAGACGTAACCGTTAAATAACAAGTTTGATTTAGTATCTAACTTAGCCTTGTCCAATTCATTTGTGTTGAAAAGTTCTGTCAACGTCATGGAAATAATTTCCACAGACGCTCCTGTGACAAGCTGCGCATTGAAATATCACTTCCGGTGACCATATTAATTGTAAAAAGTCACGTGGTCAAGCTTTAACGTCAAGGAACGTAGGCCCTATCTTATCGCTGATAGCGTTATAAATAGTTTGTCTTGTTATCGTCGTGTATTTCATTAACTAGCAGATGGGTATTGAACTCGTACTGATAATAATGGATTATAGAGATGAAATTTTCTCTTTATAATAGAAATGAAATTTAATATGGTCGAGTAGACAGAGGTACGCGCTTGATTTTACCTAAAATAGAACTCATTGATTTAGATGACAGAACTGATCTATATCACTAAGAGCAGTGTTTCGCAACTAATCTATGTATTGTGCTTCAGTTCCTTTACAATCGCTACTTCCGTGTCAAATTATATCATACACAATACACAGTGTTATATGTTTGTAAAGGATTCTTTAATGCACCACGATAACAAAGCATATTGATAACCATTGTTCTTTTTGTACTACCGTATACTCATTGTTTATACCTGTACTGTATAGGTAGCTGCAGTACACAGGTCATTGTGAGGTCAGGGGTGATAGGTCATTAGATTGTCCCGTTATTACGTTTTATATTAACAAACATGTTACGTCCTCTTATTCATTCATGTTAAATCCATTTGATGGTCTATACTATAATCACGTACATCTGTTAGTTTCTCTCCGGCCATGGCATTCTTACAATCAGAAAAATCTATAAAATCTAGCGTGTTTCACTTGTAGAGACTGTTTCTATTGAGAAAGTGTTGCCAAGTCTTAATTCAAATTCAAATGAAAGGAAGGACAAACATAAATAATGGAAAGGTTTTCTCAAAGAAACAAGAAAGATTGAGACATTTGAAGGAACACAACGATGCCAAACGTACTGAGTATTGCTGAAGCCAAATTATGTGTCCTAACGTACCCCGTTAAACACTACTCTGTAATAATTAGTTCAGATGGTGCCCAAAATTTTGGGGAAATTTAACTCATTATCACACCATGAGTACATAGCATACACGCTTGATCCATTACGAACCTGTATAAACAAAGTGTCAAGAAGAATCGATGTCCCAAACAGTCTTAAATAACGTGAAATCATTGATTCTGCAACATCAATGTCAGACACCGAAGGAATCTCATTGTTAACAATTATTGAATACTCAACCTGAAAATATTTGCCATTACATCACAAGCACGCACAAAATAAAAAAAAAACCTCTTAGGCACCATACGACTCTATCTCCCTACTATTAATACATATCCACCACATACATTTCAGTAAAGTCAACATATTGCATAGATTTTCAAACGAAATAACTGTTTCATGTAATTCAACCAATTAAAACACTCGTGCTGATTGTTGTCCACAACCACAACGTGACACACGTTGTGGTTGACACACAACAAGAGTACCCTTTGTCTTCACATTTCAGCAGGAAAGTTGCCAGTAAAATAAAAGCAGAAAAAATTCAAATGAGAGTCGTTCGTTTCCGTGACCGTGAAAACCAAACGTTTCTGTGATCATGTGCGCCTTTTAATCGCTGTCTTTGTAGTACTTGAGGATTTGTATTTCCTCATCATCAGTCTGTGACCATAAGATATTCCCTGGTTCAATACCAATAATTCCCTGTTGCCCAGCGGTTCTGTGTAGAGTTTTGATGTATTGACCACATCCGCTGATCAGTTCTATAGTGTTGCGTTTCCAGTCCCCTACAATCAGATTTCCATACGAATCGTAAGCAACAGTTCCGGGACCGAATGTGTCTGATGTTACGATTTCATCGCCCTGGATTCCGTATCCGTTGTATTTGAAAATCACCGCGAGGTTTCGATCATACACGATGATGTACATTGTATACCTGTTTAAATTTTCCTCTTTCCCTTCATTTTCTTCCCAGCTCACAGCAGCTATGTTACCGGTAACAGGACATTGTGCTAACTTCATTGGACCGCGAATTCCCGTCTCGTGTCTTGTTGCCTCGTGCATCAGGGTTCCAGCTGACGTGTAGATCGCCAACATTTCTCTTGTTCCGACAATGATTTCACGCTGGTTTGTTACATGCATGCTCCAAATCTCGCGACCTACTTTGAATTTTGCGACAGGTGATGTTGACTTCATCTCATATACAGTTTGTTGACTGCAAAACCAAACCTCGTCTGTGATTGGACCTCGACTGACGTCTCTTATTTCGTTGTCGTGTGTTATCTCCTTTTCTATACCGCCGTTTTTGTTGAGGTGGAGAACAGAGCAGTTATTATATTCCAGAACTGCTAAAGCATGTCCTTCTGATGTAGGGCAGATTGAACCTAACAGGTTCGTAAAAGGAAATTTTGCCACTACTGTTGGCCTGTCCAGCAGATCGTAGTTGCAGCAAGTAAATACACCCAGAGCTCGTGTCAAGTGATGAATGACGGACAAACGGGGAGAGAACTCTGCTGTTTGTAAAACTGGTGCCTCGGAAAGTGTATCATTTCCAAGCGTATTGAATTCCATGTCATACACATCAACTGGCGAACCTCCTTGTAGTGTTGTTTTGCATTCTTCAACTTCTCGAGTGAGAACATCATGTCTGTTTTGTTTCGTCCTTTTTCGTTGTTGGAGTAGTTCCATGTTGACCCGTTCCATATTTTCGCAGATAGACATCCATTGACCAATCAAATCGTCGATTTCTTGTTTACATTTTTCTCCTTGACTTTTCATTTTAAGTCTCATTTCTATAAACTTAGAAGAATTTTCTTCCAGTTGGTTTTCTGTTGACAATAGATCCCGTTTGAGTTGAGGAAGTGTATTATTCTCAATATTGTTGATAAAGTCGTGCATAGCGACTGTCTTCTCTGCTGCAATCTCAGTGAGTTCTTCGAGATTATGAGGCCTGTGGGGAGACTTGATGGCACATGTTGTACACAAAAGTGTTTCACAATCAAGACACGCATAGACAACTTCCTTCTGTTTATGGCTAGGGCACTGACGACTACCTCTAACCCGTACAGCTTCCTGGTAGTAATTTGGTAGAGAAATGGGATTCATGTTTTTCTGCCTCTTAAAATGTTTTGTCGAATTGAACTTCAAATCCTGCTGGTATTTCAATCTTTAAGGTCTTAGTGACTTTTACTAGGCCTACGTCTTGCTCCTATCTGCTGGTTTGGCAACCTAACGACATCTGATACTTTCAGGTAAGTTTATGTTCAGTATTAAAAGAATAATATAATCACTTGTCGATGTTCCTTTAGATTGGTTTGCATATCTAATGAAGACATATCGGTGTCCCAATGTTATGATCATACAGAGGCGTTTGTAATCATAGGCACAGATCCTTTCTGTTTGGTACGTAAACATTTACTTTTACCATGACAACCACTTCGTAGGAGCAGGAACAGAAACAGAAGAATATTTGTTAAAATGGTTTCCGTATCATGCTATATCTGTGATATACTAGATCAGATCTAGGACGGAAGGAGCAGTACTACCCGTGTATACACGTCTATTGAAAGACTAAAGCAATATATAATATTGCTGCCCACAACTACATGTAAGTGTTTTAGTTCAAGTATGGCAGCCGGTTAGGACCAAATAGTAAAATCTCGCCTTCTCGCTCCCTCGACCTGAAGTCGACCACGTGACAAAGCAACAACATGGCGGCGAGAATCAGTCTCACTTCATCGTTTTCGCTTTCTTAATTATTTTCTCGCGATGCAGTCAATATATCGAAGCAGTTAGAATACGAAGCTTGGTATCTGTCCCTCTCCGCCCACCATTCAATGGAAGTCTATATGGTTGAGTGGAGTTTTAACAACATACCTGCATTATCATATTATGTAATTCCTGTAAGTCTTATAGACTATTGTGATAATTCACAAAGAGAATATTCTATATATAGAGCGACTTTATAAAATGTGAACGGCTGGTGTAGTGTACATGTCCGTTTATATAGCTTGGTTAATATACATCACCTTCAACATTAAACAAGAGCCACTTTACCAATAGCTGTCACGCCCGGTTGTTTCAAAGACTGGTTACATATTATGAACGGTTTGCAATTTTTTCTTTCACAAATTTAACGAGTTTGGAAACATTCTTTATCATTTCACAGCTGTCGATTAGCTGAAACAGGTCAGTTTCATATATTTTGAGTGTGTTTTCCGATGATTTTCTTAGAATTCCTAGTATTTTCTGTTGCAACAATTGATTTTTTTTCACTAAGCACTATTTAATTCTAACTAACCTTTGAGTAACCAGGGCCAGCTTATTACTTTCACTCACAACTATAGTATGACTTACCATATATAGCATACGTTTGGAAAGGAAATTCGACGTTCTGCATGGCAACAAATACTCTCAACTAGCTAAAGTATTAATTTAACTACTTATCATAACTACTGTCTTTATTCGAAACCAATCGGAGAGATTTGTCGTGGTCATAACGTTCAGTACCATTGTTATGCCGACGACACACAAATCTACATGGTTATCAGACCTCAAGACAACTGGGACATAATAGTAGCAAGTCTTGAAGCCTGTCTAAATGACATCAGTGCTTGGATGAACTCAAATATGCTCAAGCTCAATCAGGAAAAGACAGAACTGATCGTCTTTTCCCACAAGTGTCAACACACTAAAGATCTCCAGTTAAAGGTCGGTGCCCAAACTATTGAGGCCGTCCAAGCTGTGAGAAACCTTGGTGTACACTTTGATAGCTCTCTGAACATGGAGAAACATATAAACTCAATTGCCAGTTCCTGTTATCACCAAATCAGAAACATTGGGGGTATCCGTCAGTTCATCACCACAGATGCATGCAAGACACTGGTACATTCTGTAACGCGTTGCTCGTTGGTGTATCTGATACACTAATGAGCCGCCTGCAGAGGGTACAGAACACCGCAGCACGCCTGGTTACCCGTACTCGAAAGAGGGACCACATTACACCAGTCCTTTACTTATTGCATTAGCTGCCCGTGCGATTCCGGTCACAGTACAAGATTTTGATGTATACATACAAGGCAATAAATGGAACACCTCCTGAATATTTGCAGGAACTTGTCACCGTTTATCGGCCGTCACGATCACTACGATCGGAGACAGAATCCTTACTGTGCGTTCCGAACTCTCGGACTGTGACTTATGGTAACCGGTGCTTTGGAAAGGTAGCGGTCACTTTGTGGAACAGCTTACCATCTGCTACTAGAAAGTCAAAATCCCTGGCCAAATTCAAGAGGGATATTAAAACCCACCTGTTTACGTCTGCATTTTAGACTCTCACGCAGACGTCCTGTATATACATACTTTCACCACTACTTACTTGATTTGGTTACTGTGTTACATATGTTGATTACTGTGTTATACATGTTCTATAAATTTTGTAGTAAGATTATTATGTAATTGTGAAGCGCATTAGAATATTTTTTTCAAAATAGATAGTGCGCTATAAAGATGTTGTATATTATTATTATCATCGTCATCATCATCATCATCATCATCACCATCATTATCATCATCAGCAGCAGCAGCAGCATCACAACCATCATCATCATCATTATCATCATCATCATCATTATCATCCACAGAGAACTGACAAAATGAATGAGATTAAGAGATAGTTAATGAAGCGTGAATATAGATAATGTACGTACACGTGTAAACTATCACTTGCCTCATATTGAGATGTCAATAAAAAATGAAACGCGAAGCGCGCACCACGAAGCGAAGCATACATGAATGTCTATCTTCGCACTTAATAAGGTGTGAACAAATAAGGTATTGTCTACAAATCCAATCGCAGTGAACACATCCGGGCAAACTCGGAAACTCGGAAAGGAGATCCCACAAAACATTTGTACGTGGTCGTCTGTATACTCGAAAGTGGAGCAATAATAACGAACAGCGTCAACGAAGGCTGAGAGCAAAGAAGACACGTGGTGTGGACAGGAGATGCTGGTATTGTCAGTAGTGTACACAATAAAATTAACTTAACGTCCGCGACCGATTCTACCACGAGTCACGTTATGTATATGGTTTGTAAGAGGATTGATACTTACCGAAAATGTCAAAAACGTGACCATCAGCCATTCGGCCTTTTTAAGCTGACTTTCCGAAGGACCTTATAGCAGATTTCACGATGAATTCCCATTGACACTTGGATGGCAATTCCATGTATACGAATTCAAGTAAGACATCCAGTTCTATTTCTGGAGCACTTTAACAATATCGGGAAAGTTACCCTCGGGGAAAATCCAGTTTGAACTTTCAGAAATTGTAAATCTGTTTTACTAAAATGGTTTGATCCAATAAAACTTTTGCAGATAAAGTAATTTTGTCTTGTCGATTTGCGTGGAGATAAGGAGAAAAATGGCCTCAGCAATATCTAACCTATCACATCAATTTGGCGGCGTAATGATGGAAACTGATTAATATTAAAACCCGTAAAATATTGATGGTAAAATCATCTTCTTGTAGAGACTAGCCTTGACAATACACAGGCTGGGTCGGAATATAATTCCTGACCATGACTATGTTCTATTAAGAGTTATTGAATTCACGTTTGCATTTTTCACTACAACGGTGATATCGTCCGCTAGAGTAGGATTTCTGTCCCGATTTACGCGCCGTAATTGCTATTTTTAAGAGGTGAAGAAGATTGTCGATAAACACCTGGTAAAGAAATATAGATAACACACCGGAAAGCACGGTGACGTTATTCCGTGCCACGTCACGACACACGTTATATCTGTGTGTGTGTCATAGGTGGTGTTAAACGTGATCTTTGACGCCAAAATCACAGTTTACTCATGAACCCTGTATGACAGTGTCAAACGCCGAGTGTCAAAATGTCCAGAAAGTCTATGTATACTTTACAGATTAACTCAAACAAGTGATTAACTCGAGATAGTGATAAACAGTCTCCTGGGGAGGGAGTGTGGCCATGCAACATTTTAAAGAAACCGTTCTGCTGGACATTTAAAAACGGTATTACAGAAGTTTAAAGCTTATCACGTATTCAATACTCATGACTTTTACAAAACGTTTGTATGTACAACATAAAGGAACATCGGTATGTAACTAGCAGGGACACAAACGGGTTAATTACCACCTTTGATAAGGATAATGCATCTTTTCCATACAGCAGTTACATGTCTAAGCTGGAAGGCATTTGGTGAGTTTCTGTGTACATAATATTAAAAGGCCGGCCCCTGTATTACAGATGTTCACTTTGAATGCCGTCAATCGCGGATGCTTTAACTTAAGGCTTCTTATAGCACAATCAATTTCTGCAAACACAAGTTTCATATTCAATTCAGAAAAAATATAAAAAGGATAACTTGGGCGTTTCTTCATTTAAGTATATCAGCTTCGCTCGACAGACATTTGCTTTATAGATATTAGGAAAACATTTGCCGGATGAAACCGCAATATCACTACGAGATCTGAAAGTTATTTTTTAATTTTGATGTTGAGTAGCTCCTCAGGTCATAATACCAAAGTCACTATATGATACGCCCAGCACGACATCAGCATTTATCTGGATACACAAGGACATCAGAACCACATCACCAGGCGGGGTGCCGTGCTAGTTTATGGAGAGTATAACATTCTATATAAAAGTCAAATCATACATGGACATCTTCTTCATATGAACCATAATTCCAGTATGTTGTACACATATGATATCCATGGACCTGTCAGTTATTCAGATGTTGGATATGATGTAGGACTGACACCACAAGTACAACATCAGCTCTCTTTCCCTTTGGACAAGTTTTAGAATGGATTGCGCAAAAGACAGAACAAGTGCCATCAAAGACGGATTATGCTCCATAAAAAGAACACAATTTAAGTGCGAAAAATAACAAAGGGCAATAAGAGAGTTATAATTCCTGTGCACTGCCCTCCTTCTGTTTGATATCTATCTACCTATGAAGTTTGATGTTGATAACTCTTATAGTTTCAGCGTAATACTCCGGACAAGATCTAAAAATGAAAAAAATAACAAAGGGCAATAACTCCTAAATTATGCAAAAGAGAGTGACGGTACTAGTGCACTACATTTCTCCTTGTTGAGGTTTATCTACAATTGTACCGATGAAGTTTTATGTTGATACCTCTTACAGTTTTTGTGTTATGCTGCGAACAAAACTACGACAGACGGACAGACAGACAAAGCGGCAATTATATGCTCTCCCTTCCCTTCGGGGAGCATAAAAAGCCATGACTATTTTGAATCCTTGAAACTGAAAGAAAACTGTTTTTTAAACTGTTGTCACAGTTTGTCCTTCTATGACTGATCAAGTAAAAGAAGATGTTTCTAACAGACACAGGGGGGGTTGGGTTATATTGAAGAAGTCATTGAAGTCATTAACAAACTTAGGGTGGCATTATTTTCCCAATGAGTGGATGTCCTGATGTACATATATATCAATTAAAAGATTGAACAATAAACAATCACAACTGGCTGGCACCTTTCTAATAAGATTTTTAATTAGATACAAAAGATAATTCAATTTCAACATTCACGTTTATTTATGCTTATCTCCCAGAGTTACTTCCCTTCATTTCACTCTTGTCAATGGATGGTATAGATGTGACAGCCGATGGAGACCAAGAATGCATTTGATTATTTTTACTGGGTATCTTCATTCTAAAATTGTGTACCGGTATATTACATGAAACATACAGAGCAAAATGTATAAAGCTTTACCACAGGTAGTTAATAATATGGTGTCAATTTTTATATCTATGATATAGAGTTTGGGTCAGTACCAGGTTTACATCTTAATAAACTATATATTAACAAAATAAATTACTCATTTTCTCCCACCTCTACACTAATAATCGTTAAACCTTCTAAAAGGCATCACAAAGAGAACAATAAACTGTATTTTTATAGAGTTTATCATTCAATTAAAGTTTATCACACCTGTAATTAACATCTACACAATCCTCAAAGTCACAAGACAATGGAAAATTATGAAAACTGTCAAGATCTTTTCAGTCAGTTAATATAAAGTCAATACTTCACATCCAGAAGTATATATAACTTTAATAAGGTTGGAATTGTTGAGCAATAATCTTAAATTGTATGGAAATTATTGGTATTTTGTAGTATATGCGACAAAACTACAGAAATTCATTACTTAATTACTTACATTAGTTATGCAGGTGAGAATTTAACCAAATTTGGTATATTGCTTTACATCATTAAGATCTCAGATGAGTTTGATGTTAGTCAAAATCTGTAAGCATTTTCCTGATGATATATGTTAAAGTTTCGGTATTTGACAGAAACAAAGAAATTATGTTTTGAAGGGTTTAAGAGTCCACAATATTGACAGATGCTGACCAAACTCATCTGAAATCTGAATATCCAAATACCAAATTTTGTTTAGATCTCACCTCCATAACTAAAGTAAGTGTCAATGCCAGTCTTATTTCAGAAGGCCATGATAGCTCAGTCTTCTACAACCGTGCCCTAGATAACCTTAGGCGAAGACTCAAGAAGCATGGTTTGACCGACCAGTCTGTGCTGGCATGGTTGTGTCTATAAGCCAGACACTATAATTACTCTGAGTAGTAAGTATGCTATAAACCCTCTGTATGCTATCAGTGCAGTATTCACCAGTTACTACAAGGAAACCCCACCTTAATATGAACTTAATTGTTCACAGAAAGATAAATCCAGCACACTAAACAACCAACAATATTCTCAGTTTGTTTCCATATCAAATAGCATTTGTAGTCATAAAGAAATGTCATAAAACATTTACCGTATTCTTTTTTTTAATTTAATGTATAAATATCTTTTTTTTAAAAACATCTAAACTTTAACACATTTTATGTGAATGAAATTCCCTTACATGTATCATGTACATATAGTATATTCATGTCTATGAACATTACTTTTTTTACTATAATGGATTATCATGAGTATGAAGTTAACATAACAATGCATTGCCTGTTATTTGCGCAGATCTTAATTTCCCATGTTTTTAATTTTAACAAAGAATCAAAGTTCATAGAATCAGAATTTCGTGACCTGGTGATGGTCCATACCATTGCTTATATTTACTCCCAATGACTTAACAGTCCAACACCTCTATGTATCATGATGATAATTTACACTTCTATACGCAAGTGTTCTGTACCATTTGATAAATATAAATAAACCTTTATTGGCCTGAATGGAGGCACACATGGGGTCTTACAAAGGGAGGAAACCAGAGTACCTGGGGAAAATCAATATGGTCAGGCAGGTATCTGTATACCTTTTCTCATCCATTCCGCGAATCGAACCCTGGATGGCTAGGTGAAAGACGAGTGCATTACTGTGCCTTCCAACCATCCAACAATTATCATTATCTAACAAGTAATCTGCATCACATACTATCTAATACCTTCCAACAATTGTTATTGTTGAAATATCCTTGGATGATTAGAGAATCAGCTAGTTAAAGTAACAATCTAACAAATATGATGACAGTCTCATCGTGAATACGATGGCAGTCTCATCGTGAATACGATGGCAGTCTCATCGTGAATATGACAGTCTCATCGTGAATATGATGACAGTCTTATCGTGAATATGATGACAGTCTCATCGTGAATATGACAGTCTCATCGTGAATATGATGACAGTCTCATCGTGAATATGACAGCCTCATCGTGAATATGACAGTCTCATCGTGAATATGATGGCAGTCTCATCGTGAATATGATGACAGTCTCATCGTGAATATGATGACAGTCTTAGGTTACATTTCATTATATTACAGATGATATTAACACTTCTTTTATTTTTTCACAAAATCAAAATTTTTGCAACTACATTAATATCCGACTTAGTAACCAAAATGTCTCTGCCATAATGATGGTCTCTATAGCCAAACACTGATTACAACAACAAAGAAAATTACCAAACAACAACAGTTTTATAAAATCATCTTATAACACCAAAACCGTTTTCAGGAAAGTTGACGATGTACATATATACATATATGAAACATTCTCCAATTAAGGTTATTTTTTTTAATAGTTTGATTTTTCACCGTCATATCAAAACCTTGAAGCAAAAAAGCTTTTTTTCATTAAAAGCATATTGCAGACTTTATCAATTTAATTTTTAATGTACATTTTGTAATTTTTTTGCAATTTCATTCCATCTGAAAAGAGAGGAAAATGCTTTAATATTCCTCTATGTAACTAATGACTGTTAAGGGGATTATTTTTTAACATCTGGGGCAGTATATTATGATTATAAATACTGTTGCTAATTGAGTTAACCTAGTGACCGATATCAGTGACTATAAAACACTTAGTTGTGACCGTTTCATCATAATACACTCACCAAATTCCAAAACACCGCAGTATACTCCTTTACTAATTCATACAGATTTAAACAAGCAAAAACATGACAATTCAGTGCCATTCTTGTGCACATTTTTTCAAAAAAGTTTATTTGCTCAAGATTCATGACAACAGTAAAATTAAAGATCAGGCGAATTTTCAGGGTAACACTACTGTTTCTGATATCATCTTATGACGTTTCAGATAAAATTACTGTCAGTGACATCATTTACAAAAATGACATCTGGACAAGATATGCATGAGAAATTTTCAGCTCCATATCATGGTTACACTGTCACAAGTTACACACATTTACCAATCAAATGTCATTTTATAACTTGAAGTTAGAATTGAATTACTGATCTCCCATGATATAATTCGACTTTTATTCGAAATCTCATAGCTTTCTAAATTCTAGGAGAAGATTTTGACACTAATTATGGACAGCTGTTGGAACACTGTTATCTGTATCTATTTTCAATGTACTTGAGTGACTTTCAAAATAGTTGTTTACACTTCCTGGTCTGGACAAGTATCCATTGTAGAATGCTGCAGCTGTTAACATTGTGTTCACAAACAGTCTGTGGAATCCAACCCATCCATCCTAAAGACAAAGAGAACATTCATCAGCAACAAATTATACATAAGATGCAGATATGAGAAGGTTACCCTAAACCAACTTCCTAAACATCTTCCTTTCAAGGCTACTAATTTCCCAAATTATTGTATCACCACAAACGCAAACCTTCTAACTTTCCCAGTTATCAATATCACCACAAATTCAAACCTTCTCACTCTCCCAGTCATCGTATCACCACAAATTCAAATCTTCTCTCTCTCCCAGTCATCGTATCACCACAAATTCAAACCTTCTCTCTCTCCCAGTCATCGTATCACCACAAATTCAAACCACCACAAATTCAAACCTTCTCACTCTCCCAGTCATCATATCACCACAAACTCAAATCTTCTCTCTCTCCCAGTCATCGTATCGCCACAAATTCAAACCTTCTCACTCTCCCAGTCATCATATCACCACAAACTCAAATCTTCTCTCTCTCCCAGTCATCGTATCGCCACAAATTCAAACCTTCTCACTCTCCCAGTCATCGTATCACCACAAATTCAAACCTTCTCACTCTCCCAGTCATCGTATCGCCACAAATTCAAACCTTCTCACTCTCCCAGTCATCATATCACCACAAATTCAAACCTTCTCACTCTCCCAGTCATCATATCACCACAAATTCAAACCTTCTCACTCTCCCAGTCATCATATCACCACAAATTCAAACCTTCTCACTCTCCCAGTCATCATATCACCACAAATTCAAACCTTCTCACTCTCCCAGTCATCATATCACCACAAATTCAAACCTTCTCACTCTCCCAGTCATCATATCACCACAAATTCAAACCTTCTCACTCTCCCAGTCATCATATCACCACAAATTCAAATCTTCTCTCTCTCCCAGTCATCATATCACCACAAATTCAAACCTTCTCACTCTCCCAGTCATCATATCACCACAAATTCAAACCTTCTCACTCTCCCAGTCATCATATCACCACAAATTCAAACCTTCTCACTCTCCCAGTCATCATATCACCACAAATTCAAATCTTCTCTCTCTCCCAGTCATCATATCACCACAAACTCAAATCTTCTCTCTCTCCCAGTCATCGTATCGCCACAAATTCAAACCTCTCTCTCCCAGTCATCATATCACCACAAATTCAAACCTTCTCACTCTCCCAGTCATCATATCACCACAAATTCAAACCTTCTCACTCTCCCAGTCATCATATTGCCACAAATTCTAATCTTCTCACTTTCCCAGTCATCATATTGCCACAAATTCAAATCTTCTCAATTTCTCAATGATTGTATCATAACAAATTCTTCTAACATTTTAAATACATCATTCTGTAAAGTAAGCATCATCTCTTTTTAGTTTTGGTTTAACAATTCCACAAAATTTTGTGTTGATAATCATCATACTGTAAACTTTAATCAATGGTTATGTAAATATTATGTAGATATGAGCAAATTATTCCCAAAATAAAAATGAACTTTTTGTGTCCTACCTACTTTACCAGGCCCCACTTGTATAAAACATCTCAACTTGAGATTTCCTCAAGTCGAGATTTTCTTCAGCTGATATATCCTTGAAAATATCTTGTATGAAAATTCCTCAAGGAATTTCAGGACATCCTAGCCGATGACTTCCTCCTGTTCCTTGAGAAATTTTATACAAGCCGTTATCGAGGAGATATCAGCTGAGGAAAATCTCGACTTGAGGAAATCTCAAGTTGAGATGTTTTATACAAGTGGGGCCTGGTCTATAAGTTTGAAAAGAAACCATCAATATTTTATCATAGACTTCATCTAACTGTTGAATAATGAATCACTCTGTGGAATACCTTGCATTTGATAAGTATACAATGCTGTTGTTTCAGGTGATACGTCCGCCCTGGGGGTATTGCTGCAGAGCTGGAGACATTGTACAGCCTCCGGACCAGGGGTTCGATCACTTCATCTGTAAATATAGTGTGAAGTGTGCAGCAGAGGATAATGGAATCATTGATGTAACTTTTTATCATAAATCAAATCAAAAGATCGGATATCGGTTCAAGTTCACTGTCAACATCACATTGATCAATAAATGTACAAGGACCTAAACCCTGTAAATAGATAAACACAACATCACATATACAGGGACTTGAGTCCTGTAAATAGATCAACACAACATCACATAGACAGGGACTTGAGTTCTGTAAACAGCTAAACACAACATCACATAGACAGGGACTTGAGTTCTGTAAACAGATAAACACAACATCACATAGACAGGGACTTGAGTCCTGTAAACAGATAAACACAACATCACATATACAGGGAGTTGAGTTCTGTAAACAGATAAACACAACATCACATATACAGGGAGTTGAGTCCTGTAAATAGATAAACACAACATCACATATACAGGGACTTGAGTCCTGTAAATAGATCAACACAACATCATATATACAGGGACTGGAGTCCTGTAAACAGATAAACACAACATCACATGTAGAGGGACTTGAGTCCCGTAAATAGATAAACACAACATCACATATACAGGGAGTTGAGTCCTGTAAATAGATCAACACAACATCACATATACAGGGACTTGAGTCCTGTAAATAGATCAACACAACATCATATATACAGGGACTGGAGTCCTGTAAACAGATAAACACAACATCACATGTAGAGGGACTTGAGTCCCGTAAATAGATAAACACAACATCACATATACAGGGAGTTGAGTCCTGTAAATAGATCAACACAACATCATATATACAGGGACTGGAGTCCTGTAAACAGATAAACACAATATCACATAGACCGGGACTTGAGTCCTGTAAATAGATAAACACAACATCACATATACAGGGACTTGAGTCCTGTAAACAGATAAACACAACATCACATATACAGGGACTTGAGTCCTGTAAATAGATCAACACAACATCATATATACAGGGACTGGAGTCCTGTAAATAGAGAAACACAACATCACATATACAGGGACTTGAGTCCTGTAAATAGATAAACACAACATCACATATACAGGGAGTTGAGTCCTGTAAACAGATAAACACAACATCACATAGACAGGGAGTGGAGTCCTGTAAATAGATAAACACAACATCACATATACAGGGAGTTGAGTCCTGTAAACAGATAAACACAACATCACATATACAGGGACTTGAGTCCTGTAAACAGATTAACACTACATCACATGTACAGGGCCAGTATATACAATGGATTTGAATGACATGAATTACCTGGTATAGTATTAACTGGAACCATATCATAGAGCTTCACTCTGTAACCACTGTAGCTGCTCGTCAGGGGCATCTAAAATAAAGAATGTGATCTGTGTGAAGACTTTACAAGGACAGATTCGGGAGGCATTTATGTTTAAAATACATCATCTTGATTATAACACAAGTCTGCATGGTTTCATTTTATGAAGTAAGTAGGCACTTAAATTGAAGGTAACAAACTAATACAATGTAATAATGTACCTGAAAACTGGCACGTGAAACACACATTGAATTATGTTAGAATGAGATTCTGTGAACATCTTAGCTAAATTACAGGTCTCCAGCAGCCCAGCCCCAGGTGGCAAGGACAGGTAAGCTGATAACAGTTCTCTGATGACCCAGCCCACTGACTTTTGTTTTGAAGGTCTAGGGCTGTGACATCAATTTCAAACAAAACAGTACACCAGAATAAGACTGATATGGGCAGCACTATATGAACACAACCAACCAAACCTCCGACCATTAAACAGCAAGGACATAAAACACCAATAAAAAAATATTAATGTCAATGAAAATTTACCATGAAATGATAATGGCTGAATGTCCTGCTCCTGGCAATACTGGAATGCCACATATTTTAAAATCATCTAGAGAACAAGATCAAGGTCTAAAGGGCCTGCATTGCTCACCTGGCTATTTTAGCTATTTAATAAGGAATTTCAAATTTGAAAAAATAATTTCTGATATAATTTCCTTATTTGATCCCAGCCTTGTGGTCAAACAGAAGTCAGAGTCACTATTCATAAAAAATTGCTTCAGATCAATCTTGATTTTCAAGAACTTACACATCCCAACTTGGGCCCTACATTGAAAAGTTTTGATTAAATTTTGGCAAAATCCAATCAGTGTGACAGGAAGAGAAAATTTTCTTTCATTTTTACTTGATTTCCTCTGTTAGGAACCACTCCTCCTGCCCCACGGGGGCCAAGACCTAATGTCTACAGATGTTGATTCCTCTTCACCCAAGAATGCCAAATTATGACAATATCCATTCATTCCTACAGCATTAGTAAGATTTTAAAGAATTTATTACATTTCCCCTATTGGGCCCCCCCCAAACAGGACAGACCTATAAGGTCTATACAAGATTGATTCCTCTTCACTCTAGAACACTTCAGACCAAATATTATTCATTCCTTTCTACAGGAGGATTAGGACCAGTTGAACCAAAATCCTTGCCACTCACAATTAGGTTGTGACATCAGATTAGAAATGAAAACCCTGACAAAATCTGATATATACTTCGCCTCATGTTTCATGCCACATTGACAATGATATGATGTTTTGAGTTCGCTGTTGCAGCAATCATCAACAGGTGTGAAGTGACAGATTTTTTTAATAACTCCAGTGTTATGAAGACATAAAAATCTCAACCTTTGGGATAAGATTTTTTAAGCTCATAACTCACAAAATCTTAATATTAAATTTTAAATATAAAATGTAAATATAGTGAACTCCTGTTGATATTCTAGAAATGTTACCTCCCTTTTTAATCCGTATGCAACATTTTCATGGTGAAAATTTCTTAAAACTGAAATGTTATTCAACAAAATAAGTCTACCTGGGATTTTAACTCATAAAATATTGCAAAGTACAATTTTTTTTTCCTTAAGACCTGTCGAGGTAAAATTACTGGAGGGACATCTGCTGGAAGATCCAATGTAGAAGACTATTTCTCACTCATGTACAGTTAGCAGTACAGAATATGACTGATTAATAATGTGTTTAAACTCACTAATTCATGGATGGCTCGGTATTGACGATCTATCTCACACATAGTAGAATTTTCCCAGTCCACTACTTCCATCCCTTTACTTATCTTTGGAGCTGAAATTACATAAAAAAATTCTAATAAGATTGTATATCTTCAATTGTTTTGATATGATGGAAATTCAAAAGACCCTGAATATTGTTGATAGATATGATATGAACAGATGGCATTTAAACTAATCATAACTAAGGATACGTACTGTAAGTGAGTCAATTAGATCAAGATAGCATAAACTAATGATACTTACCGTAAGAGAAGCAATTAAATCAAGATACAGGATGTACATATATGTAGCATAAATGTATGGTACTTACCGTATGTTATACCATCAGAAGGCTGTTCTATTTCCTGTCTTTCAAGTGAAGGTAAATCACAAAGTGCTGCTAACATCTTCAGAAGACAATAATCATGAATCAAAAATAGCATCATTAAAGTTATGGAGATTCAGTATCTTGATATTTTAATGAATATTGTAAGAAAAAAATTCTACAGTTGTATTTCTTCATTAATATCTTATATTCATAAAAGATCACCCGATAGATGGACAACCAACCAGCTCAGATGCTTACCAATTTGACTCCGTGGACAGCTAGCAAATCACAAAGTTGAAGGGTAGTGCTGCCCTCTGGGACAGGAAGTGACTTCTGTAGCAGTACAGGGCCAGTGTCAAAACTGCCAAGGAGATAATGCAGAGGAATGATAGAAAGCTGTGTAAATAGTCAACCAATCAGGTGATATAAAAAACTTTCTGTGATCTCCTTGATGAAAACTACACTCAGGTAGTTTGTGTACAATTGATACCTTGATTCCACAGCCAATAACTTGTGTACCCATAGAAACCTCACATGCTTGGACAAGGTCCTGATGCTTTGTCAGGTCTATTCAGACAATCAAATCCAAGTCTCTATCGTAACAGCTATAAATAAAGCCACAGTCTCCATGGTGATAAGCCTAAGACTATTGTATGATACCTTTTTTTAGTGATCCCCGACATCTTAAGTACAAACAGCTGTATATAAATATCATTACATTGAAATACTCACTGTTTTGCACGTAGCTTCATCAACGTAATTCCTGTCAGAGTGTCGCCACTGAGAATTGTGTGAGGGATCGGAGTTGCTCCTCTCCAGCGAGGTAATAAACTTGGGTGAATGTTAATAATCCCACTGAATTCAATAAAAATGGACTTTAACTACCAAAACATATAAATACTGTTACTTATATATCATATGTGTAACAAACATCATTATTCAATATTCATTTTCATGCCTTTGCTAGGATTCGAACCCTGGACCTCTGTGTTACCACTATTATATTCAAATTTAATCTAACTAAACAGAAGATCTTTCTCAAGTAGAGTGATAGTATACAGTGTTTCATATGCACTGATTTTGACTTTCTCAACTTCAACTGTGAATTAGTTAAACAGGGTTTTCCATAAAAGCCAGTCGTCGACCAATTTGACTGGCTACTTTGATCATTTGGCCGCCTACACCAATCCAGTTCCGTAATAATGTTCCGTACACGACTACACGTACACGGCAGGCCACCCCCACCTCGCCACGTTGCGGGTCGGGTCGGGTCGGGACAGCTGGCTTTGCCAGCCTCCTACTTTCACTACACAGCCTACTAATAACAAAATTATGGAAAACCCTGGTTAAAAATGTTAAAAATGTTAAATGAATAACTTCTACAAAAATGGTTGATTCACAATACCAAGTTGGTACAGCATATTATGAATCAATAGCCATACAATTTTACAACACATCTGTGTGAGCAGAATCTCTGGCAGAATTAAAATGCAGGAAAAGTGAAATAAATCTAGAAGGCAAAGAAACACGTCATGATTAACAAAGATCGCTTTCGCATAAGCAGTTGAAACATTTGAACTGGTTGGACGAGTTGGACCTGCAAGAAAAATGTCAGGTACAGGTCAGGACTAAGGCTGGACTGCAGAATATTTGGCCAATACAGATTTAGAGGTCCAGCCGTACCTGTCTGAAACTAACTTGCTGAATATCATTATTTTTCAGAAGTTCAGCACATATCTCCAGGAGCATTATGCTATAAAATATGAGTGAATTTTATTTTATTTTATTCCTAATTTTAGTTAATTGATTTATGCTTGACAGGAAATTCTGAAACTCTGCATTTTTAGTTTTTCATTTGTCAGGTCAGTCAAATAAATTCCACACCACTTATACCATGTCAGTTAGGTCACACAAAAGCAGTTGAAGTCTATTAACAAAGAAAACAAAGAGATACGATCTCTAGACAAAACCAGTTTATGATAGATTACGGAAGGTAGACAACCCACATTCCTACTTCAATATCTACATAACAACATTAGCGATGGGAAATCAGCTCAAATCCAAAATAGATGATCCCTTATAATTGGAGAGGCTTTCTGGTGTAGTCCATTGATTACATAATCAGTGGACTGTGTGTTCAATATTCATTAAAAGTTCATGCATTTTTCATTGAGAAATGTTTTCCAGGTTTTGTAACTTTAATCTAACATAACTCATTTACCTAGAAGCTGAATATTTTTGGCAATTCTCATCTCTGTTATGCATAAACACAATAAAATAATAAGGTACCGATAATTGATTATAAAAAATTACAATTGATCATCGCATTGGATGAGGTTAAACAATTAGATAATCGACTGTACCTGATCACTGTCCCATCACTAATGAACACTGAAGAAATCGCACTGCTAAAGATACTCACTATGGGAAAACAAATACTATGAGAAAAAAAAGATACTCACTATGGGAAAACAAGATACTCACTATGAGAAAACAAGATACTCACTATGAGAAAACAAGATACTCACTATGGGAAAACAAGATACTCACTATGGGAAAACAAGATACTCACTATGGGAAACAAGATACTCACTATGAGAAAACAAGATACTCACTATGGGAAGGCATTTATTACTCTTCCTGGAATCATTTTTCCAAAGGATGAGAGTACACTAACATCAAACATCCCCTTTTCAACTTTGATTGGCCACTCGTGAATACAAAGTCCCATTTCCTTGCTATATTTCTTCACAGGCGTCTGAAATTGTAGAAATAATCAAGTAACAACAGCAATCAAATATAACACAATAACGAACAGAAGGAAAAAATATTTCCAGGGTGTGGAATTTAAAAAAAAACCATTGAATAGGAAGATTGTTTTTGCAGATGTCAAGGGATGAAAATTGACATGAAAGTTCCATATTGTATGTAAACCAGAAAGGCAAAATTTCACACTTAACCAAGTGAAAATCCTAAAATTTGATCATTATGGATTCAAATTTAAACATTTTTTCAAGTGAAATTTGTAAAAAAAAAAAAAAAAAGAAGTATAATGTGTCCAAGTCTCATTGACAACAGAAATGATGGGCTAGTCTCCTTGACAACATATATGATGAGCTAGTCTCATTGACAACAGAAATGATGGGCTAGTCTCAATGACAACAGAAATGATGGGCTAGTCTCATTGACAACAGAAATGATGGGCTAGTCTCATTGACAACAGAAATGATGGGCTAGTCTCATTGACAACATATATGATGGGCTAGTCTCATTGAAGACAAATGACAAATATGATGGATTGGTCTCCATGACAACATATATGAGGGGCTAGGAATCTTAACATTTACAGAGTTCCACAAATAGAAATTGAATTCATATAATTTGACCCCTAAAAACAACATCTACATATGAAGAAAAATTTGTCCATACTAACAGTTTACTCGATCATTACATTTTGATAAATTGCTAGAGAATGATTTTATAAAATTCCAACCCAGTCTCAGTACCTAAAATTTTGTTTTACATCAGAACAGCTTTGTTGAAATTACAGTACCATGTGTTTAAGATTGCAATAAACCCAGTCTGGGTCAAAACTTGACCCCAGATTAAAAACTGGGAGATAAAAGCTTATCACAGGACACTGATTTATAACAATGTTTGTCATTTGTATGGAAAACTGTGTGTGTAGGCTTATTACCATGTTGATAAATATAGTATAAAAATATCACAATTCTTACAATCAATTGATAAATACAGTATCAAAAATATCACAATACTTACCATTGAAGCTGTACAAACAACTTCTAAGTTCTCAACAACCTTGAACTCTGACTCAGTCTGTAGCATGTTTTCATGTAAAGCCTTTAGGGCTGGCAAGGAAAATCGATCTGATCCAAAAAATAGCACTCGCCAAGGTGGCTGCATTCTTACATTGCTGAATTCTTTTATATTAGCACAACACACAGATGTAGAAAAAGAGGAAGTCTGAAGTATCCACCATGGGGGTCGGAGTTGGAATGATTGTCTTAGTGTTAAACAGGTCGGAAATAAAGTCATTTTATGAGATAATCTTGACAGTTTCACATTGGCACAGGTACGAACAGCAGATAAGGAAAATAAAAACGATGACCGCTTGAGTTGTGATCTTCTTCCACAACACTGTTTACTTAAAGTCAGCACTGATGATTGTCTGGAGCTCACTTTCCATGTTAAATTATGTCTTTGTAAGACAGAAATTTGTTGCAAATTATTTGAATATGATTTAAATGTTTGGTTGTAATTGCAATGTTGCACTTTCGTTAAAGCATTTGGTTGATATGGATGGTTAGACAGAGATACACAGTTGAGTCTTCTGCATAGAAAAATTGGAGAAATTTGTTTCAGTTCTTGACCTCTCAAACATTGATAAAGAGATCTGACGATGGTCATGTTTGTCAAAGAAATAGACATCGTACCAGCTCTGGTAACCTGTACAACAAACAAAAAAATAATATAAAATTACTTCACATTTCAAGCATACAATACGCAATATCCCTGCTGACATACAGCTCCCACAGCAAACACAAACCATATTTAACGTAAAATAAAAGTTTTAAAATCAGGTTACAAAAGGACAATCCTAACGTGATTTATATTAAGTTTCAACTTCATTCACTGTGTCTACTTCTATTACTGCCAATTATGGCTTTTTTCGCTTCCTTACGAGAACGATTATCTGAATCACAAGTCATTAAAACATCTCGGGGTGACACTATAAAAACACATGAAGTCAATAAAAAAAGATGAAAATGCATTGGGGTATATGACACTACTACTCTTTTGACTCAACATTTGACTTATGTCCATGTGCCCGAGGTGCAGGTTCAGAAAGCACTGTCAGTCCTGAAATCCAGTACAATAAGATTTCTGTATGACAAACGTATATACTGTTTAAAATAATACTGTTTACCTGGAAGTTTCCCACTGCACCGGCGACTTATATTACTCGTGTTCCATAGTGCAAGGGAGACCACTCTATCATCTTAAATTGAAGGTCAAGGTTAAAAACGGGTAATACGAAAATGCGGCTGTAATTTCTTAATTTACGACTCCTCAGGTATATCCTTTACCTGTTAATGTTGTCCTGTTGTCGTCTGCGTAAAACGTATTAGTGAGGAATGTGAAGGAATTCAGGTACAACATATTGACAGAACTTCGACATTTTCAGCTGTGTTCGGAAAAAATACCCTATTCCTGGTCTATTCATGAGGTTTGTACGGTTTCAAAAACTGATCAAGTTGTTAAAAGGAAATTGACAGTTCTCTAACAAAACTTATTTATCACATATCACAAACAAATTACATGGCCTACATCTACCTGAAGTTATGTATTTTATTCTTATTTAAATCAGTTTATGTTTGTGTAATCGTGTATTATGACCGAGGATCAGGAATGACTCAACATGTCCATGATAATTAATTTTATCCGTTTAGTAACGAGTTAGAATCTATTTCAGGATGTGATGTAAACAAGGTGATCACCACACAATAGGCCTATTAATCTACTAACAATATACATGTAACTGTTGTTTACATTTGACCGTACTGACAATAACACCATTTTCGTCTGTAAACAGCTTAAAATGGTAAAATCATTCGATCTGTGAGAGCAATTGGTCATTTAATTTTCAACAAGCGTGTAGTCAATATTGGAATTAAGTAAGATGGAAAGAAGGTTCAACTTCTTTTTGGCCCCTTGACCCTCTCCAGGATTTATTTGTGCATATCTGTTCTGAGATGTTAGGTATATACTTGTGCAGGCAGCTGGCAATTACTTCAGCTGTTCATCATGGAGCTTGTGTGTATATGTTTTGGAGTTGTCAACTGAAGATGGATGTGTTGATTGATTGATAATGTAGGTCAGCACAGATGTCAGTAAATAAACACAGAGTATACAGGTCCTTTATATAGGTTCACAGCTAACAATTAACAGCTAGCATTGTGTATTTAGGTCAGGTCAGATATTTGTTATACTTGGACATCTCCAGGTATGAAAGGTGATTGAGGAGTAATGCCACAGTAAAGATTCAGTCACAACAAAAATAGTTAGTAGTTTCATTAGTGATATCACCAGATGAGTGAGCATCTTCAAGAATTTTTAAGTTTTGCTGAGTTAAATAGTTATATGAGGGTCCTGTGTGTTGTAACAAGTGTCTAGTAATTCTGTATGAAGGTCCTGTGTGTTGTTACAAGTGTCTAGTGATTCTGTATCAGGGTCCTGTGTGTTGTAACAAGTGTTGAGTAATTCTGTATGAAGGTCCTGTGTGTTGTAACAAGTGTCTAGTAATTCTGTATGAGGGTCCTGTGTGTTGTTACAAGTGTCTAGTAATTCTGTATGAGGTCCTGTGTGTTGTTACAAGTATCTAGTAATTCTGTATGAGGTTCCTGTGTGTTGTAGCAAGTGTCTAGTAATTCTGTATCAGGGTCCTGTGTGTTGTAACAAGTGTCTAGTAATTCTGTATGAGGTTCCTGTGTGTTGTAACACGGACTTATATACATGTATATAAGTCCGTGGTTGTAACAAGTGTCTAGTAATTCTGTATCAGGGTCCTGTGTGTTGTAACAAGTGTCTAGTAAATCAGGGTTGATTTCTTTTGATAATTAAGATCAAACATGTCATAATCAGACTTTGGTTTTCAAAACTAAAATGACTTTTAATTTCATTTAATATATGATGAAGATATTTTCTGTGTAGTTATTAGAAGGCTACTGTGACAAGAATGGACTGTAACTGTTTACAGTATTGTGTGAATGGAGTGTTTTGTTTTCCTCTACTTTACAAGGATGTCTTGTTTATACAACCTGTTTATCTTAATCTCAGTGTTTTATCAACAGTAACTTACACTTTCATGGGAAACTTTCTATCTCTGACCCGTTACTCTGTAAGATAAATACCCACCCAGCTGTTTACCTTTGTCCATCCTCAGGTATCTTATCAAATAACCTAATATAACAGTGTCCTGCCATCCCTTTAAGTCTTTTAAATTTTGATACATATACACTGTGTATATATATACTTAGTAAATTTATTGGATCATAAACCATTCTAAGAGCTGTGTGATTTATTTAATATTTTCGTTCTGTGAAGTCCTGTGTGTATAATGGGGGATAACCTTAGAATTTTGACAGAATTAGTCATCCCGGTCTATATATATTAATACACCAACAGTAAAATTGTTATCAAATGACAAGGATTAAAACTTAATTGCATTTTTTTGTTTATTTCCTCTGTTCTGTTCAGCTGTTCTAGAGTGTGAAATTTTAATTATCGTGTCATATAACAATGTATATAAAGAACATTTACTGCACATGTAAAACAAGTTTCAAAGGAAACATGATACACTGTTCCTGTATGTAAAGTTTTAACGTATTTTCATGGAATGTTTATTTTTAACGTACCTGGTGCATTGAAGAATTTTGGATTATTTCAAACTTCCTCTTAAGTTTTTACTACACCAGTCCTCGAGTATGAACTTGAAAATTATTTTGTCATTTAATCATGTTTATATAGACAATTTTTACTGTACATGTCAAAAGTGTTTCACAGGGAATATGATACTTGTATGTAAAGTTTTATGATGTTTTCTGAAAATCTTTATTTTTTGATATTACAGAAGCAGTAAGGAATTTTTGATGCAATCATAAGACAAAAGAAGATGGCTAATTCTATGACAGAGGAACAGTATGATTTCATTTGGAAAAGTAAGTATCATTTTTTTATTACTTCTTTTACATCTTAAACATTGAAATTCTCTCCAACGTTACTTTTGATTCAACAACCGGGATTTGGGATTTAATGTACAGGTACTGAACAAATTTTAATTGCTCAGATATTTTCCAGTATTTTATTTTATATAATCAGATACATAGATATTATAATCATATATTTGTGTATTACTGGAGCTATACTTTTTATGCTAAGAGCATTTTCAATGCTCTTCAGCATGTTGCTGTCGCCCCTGAGTATCAGTACTTCGTTTTCATTGGTTCATGAATCGAAAGTTTACTCCTACTCCATCTGCCGGACATTACTGTAATAATTGGATTATCGCCCCTACAAGTTGCTGATGCTAGTCATTAAATGAAACAACCTTATCGGCATTTTCTTCATTACATATTAATGTTGTTGGCTTATTTTTTCAGCTTCTGATCTATTTCATTTTATTTTCATTTACTGCATTGCCTATTTATTTTAAATCTGAGAATTGATTTGTTTAATGGAACAAGTATTTCCATGTTAATATGCATATGTGATAAGAAACATTGTCACCAAATCACCTGACTTTGTCAGAACCAGATATTGGCTATATCATGACCTGCTTAAATTTGTAAATAAAATATTAGAATCACCTGATGTTTTTTTTTTCTTTTTATCGTGATCACTGTTTCAAAAGTTTCAAATTCATTTTTTTATCTGTTAATTCAAAATAATGCTTAAACATACTATAGAACATCATCTCAATGCCAAGAGTTGTGAAAACTATACAATAGAATTTATTATAAAGTCTTTTACTGGTGACCCATTAAAACACCTTGTCACCTGTGTAAAATCCACTATATTGTATCTTAACATGTTTTAGTTCTTTTAAAATAGTTTTTCCTATTTCACATTTTTTTCTCGTTTCACAGTTGTACTATAGTGTTTTTAGTACACATCTGATGATGATATGCTATTCAAATCACCCTGTGTCTGTGATCTGTCTGTTATCTGTCCTTTTGTAAACAATTTTTGGTTGTTGCTGTTTCTTAAGAAGTAAATGATGGATCTTTTTCAAATTTCACATGTTGGTTTCCCCAATTGTTTGGTCCCTAATTGTGCCCATTTGTTTTTGCCCTGATCAGATTTCACTATTTCTTGAGATGTACAGTATGGATCTGTGCAAAATTTTGCATGTATATATAGATTTCTCTTGGTCCCTAGTTGTGTCTGCTTGACTTTGTGACTAATTAGAAAAACAAAAAAGTAATCATCTTTGATTTGGCAGTTCAAGATTGTTATCACAGCCTCTTAGAGTCATTTTTAAATGTCATATAATTAAGAGCAAATAACAGGAGAAAGATAAAAGCAGGGAAAAAGATCAAAATTTTAAAGAAAAAATAAAGATGAAACAATGGGCACCAATATCCCTACAGGGATCTCTTCTTAGTCCCTTTAAGATTGTTTTTCCTTGCAGAAGTTTCACAGATGTACTAGTGTTTAGTCCCTTTAAGAGATATTGTTTGTTTTGCCTGTTTTACAGTTGTACTAGTATTCAATTTGTTTAAAATAGTATTTTTATCTGTTTCATAGTTGTACTAGTCGGAGACTCAGGAGTGGGTAAAACAAACCTGTTGTCAAGGTTTACCCGGAATGAGTTCAACGCCGAAAGTAAAAGTACAATAGGAGTGGAGTTTGCTACGAGGTGAGCTATTCTGTTTATTAATGTATAACACTTCCACAATATCTGGGTACGGAGTTGAACAACGTCACTCAGTATTAGTAATGATGTACAAGAATCAGTAATTAAATCCATTTTTACTGCTTTAGAATGTTGTATCACAGTTATTTCTATTACAACACTGTTGAGAAATGATTGGTTTCTGTCTTAAGATTTCTGTTTGTAGCAAAGAAATTTAAATAAATTTATTTGTATAAATGTTGTAGCTTATCGGACGTTTTCATTTGATCATTAGTAAGGTCTACTTACTGATCAAACATGCACTGTTTAAGCAAGGGAGATAATTAATGATCAATTTCTTATTTTATATATTGCACAAAAGACTCTTAATTGAATTATTCTTTTTAGTATAAATTGGCTTCAGCAGGACCAGATAATAAAGTAAACTGCATCTTACAACCGTTTTGTTCCTCTAGGACTTGTCAGTGATGCTAAGAGCCTGAATTTTACAACCAACTAGATGTGTGTGGGAGGGGAAGGGGCAGGTGGTTCCATAGCTCATAATTTAAATATTTTCTTAATTTCATAATTTCCTTATATCTGATGATTTCAGAAGAATGACAAGCCAGTATGTTCTGAACCTTGCCTCTATTGATAAGAACTTGCTACATTAACAATCAAGAGAGCTTATTTATATCATATATGCTGGTTACAGCTCATTCATACCACAAGATATAAGTTATTCCTAAAAGATATTACAAAGCATTGATTCATTTTAAGTTAATAACTGTTTTGTAGGAACTTAACAATAAAGGGAAAAACAGTGAGGGCACAAATCTGGGATACCGCAGGACAGGAGCGTTACAGAGCCATTACAAGTGTGTAAGTATACATTATCTGGGCCATCAAGTGTGTCAGTATACAGTATCAGGGCCACCAAGTGAATCAGTATACAGTGTCAAGGCCATCACTGCAGGACAGGAGCGTTACAGAACCATTACAAGTGTGTAAGTATACAGTATCAGGGCCATGACAAGTGTGTAAGTATACATTATCCGGGCCATCAATTGTGTCAGTATACAGTATCAGGGCCACCAAGTGTGTCAGTATACAGTGTCAAGGCCATCACTGCAGGACAGGAGCGTTACAGAACCATTACAAGTGTGTAAGTATACAGTATCAGGGCCATGACAAGTGTGTAAGTATACAGTATCAGGGCCATGACAAGTGTGTAAGTATACATTATCCGGGCCATCAAGTGTGTCAGTATACAGTATCAGGGCCATGACAAGTGTGTCAGTATACAGTGTCAGGGCCATTACTGCAGGACAGGAGCATTACAGTGCCATTACAAATGTGCAAGTATACACTATCAGGGCTGTCAAAAGTGTGTCAGTGTACAGGGTCAGGGCCATCACCAATATGTAAGTACAATTGTATACAGTGTCTAGGCCATCACAGGCGGACAGGAATGTGTTGAAGTTCAACACAGTAACAATTTTCAAGATTTATAGAAACATACCTGTCAAAGACTACAAATGACATAATTTAGTAAGTTTAATGACATCTAGGACTGTTTTTGGCTTCAGAAGTCAACAACTTTAAGTTTACAAGTGAAACTAACCACCCACAAAAGGTAAAACCCTGACATTTTACACCCGTCTTAATCCACCCACATATAGTAAAATATGTTAAAACTATGCATTTTCATGAAGCCAAATACCTGCAGATTTCTTTCATTTGTCACCAATTACAAATTAAAACCCCAAGAAGGCACAATATTTTACTAAATCTAAATTGAGAAATGGATTATAATTAGATGAAACAGATCCGAGTCATTCACTGACTGATTAATTTGTGTGAGTCCTGAAGGTGAATACATATGTTTAGGTTGATAATAAAAGATGATTTAAGTGGCTATATTTTGAAATCCAGTAATCTGTCTAGATAGTTTATCATAACACTGTTGCGTAAGATTGATAAAATTTTTTAAATTTCATACACAGATATTACAGAGGAGCTGTAGGGGCCCTCGTCGTGTATGATATCACTAAGCCCCAGACGTTTGAGAATCTCCACAAATGGCTAGAGGAGCTAAAGGAGCATGCTGACCCGTATGTCTGTATCATGATCGTGGGCAACAAAACTGACCTCAGGTCAACCCGAGCCATTCAACAGGAACAGGGACGTCTAAAGGCTGGTATGTAAATAAAGTTAGGGAACATATTTATATTTTATATATATAATTATAGTCATAAAATTGATTTGTCTCGGCCATTTTATAGGGGAGGCTGGCAGATGTAAAGTTTTCTCCATGTCTGTACTGTTTGCTGCATGGTGGTATCTCCCTTTACATCACATCTTGACCTGTTGTGAATCTATATTCTGTCTTTAGAACCTCAATTGATTTGGTTCATATTCCTCAAAAATCCTAACATCAGGTTTTACATTTGATCTAGTTTGCTGAGGAGCTGGGACATCCATATTTTGTAAAAATTCTCTTCTTTGAATAAACATTGATACCTACTGTACTTTATGGTTCAGGTCACAAATTCTGTCTGTCTTGCAAAAAAACACATCAGTTTAGTTTCAGTTTCTTGTACAAGAAAAACTTAGGGCTACACTTTTTGTTTCAATTTCCTTATTGTCTTGTTTTTAACAGAGGAAAACAAATATTCTTTTATTGAAACTTCTGCTCTGGACTCAACAAATGTTGGTGAAGCTTTTAACAATCTATTAGTGGGTAAGTGTGGCATGTTTATAATCATTATTTAGGCATTATAGTACTGTACTGCAGTACACCATATCAATGTTTAGCTGTCAAAAATTTAGAAGTTGTTCGAAAATAATTCTGATTTGCTTCTGAATAATTGAACAAAACTCAGATCAGATATAAAATGGCTACTGCTTTTCAAACAAAGAAAGATGTCAAATTTGCTTGTTTATTGTTCATTCAGATAACTTTTTAAAAAGTCATTTGAAACATACACAATCATTGAAATAGAAAATAGACTCAATGATCCTTATAAATCCATATAATTAACAATTGACCAGAATTTTTATCTTTTATAGATATTTTCAAAGTACAAGTTGAAGATCAGAATTTGGATACGAAAGCCGCTGACAACACATCAAGAATTGTTCCAAATTCCTCTGAGGATCCAAGTCAGCAAGAAGATGGTGTGCAGCAGTGTGGCTGTTGATCTGTGTTTTTGTTATGTTTGTCAAGCTGATTTTATGGTTGGTGCAAAGAGTTTGAGTGACTGAGATTGAGTCTTAGTGTGAAGATTTTTAAATGACATAGATTATTTGAATCTAAAGACAGGAAATTAGATCTTGGTACATGTGGAAATGTAAAGATGATGATTTTGTCATAAAACACATTTTTAAAGGTGGAAAATAATAAAGTTTAAATTTATTTCATTCAGTTATATCAGGTATTTACTTGTTTCCTTGCAGTTTTTATTCCAAATCTCTAGTGTAAAAACCCAGATGTTTAGTTTAGATTGAATACCTTTGTAAAATCCATAGATAAGTACAAAAAATTTATAGTATCTCACTAACACTAGACAGGTTTGTTGATTTGATCTGGTATAGAGAAAGTTTTCTCAGAATTTATTTTGAGGATGAGCAGGGTGGTTGACAAGGGCAGGTAACTTGTTTATGTTAACATTTCCACTTTTTCTTGTTCAAATACTTTTACATGACAAATCTTGAGCTCTATTTTAATCAGTGAATATATACAATTCATTGTGAGGCTTGTTTAAATCTGAATCGTGATAATGTTTGAATGCTATGTGTTAGTGTTTTGTGAAGGAATGACTCCTGTATTGTAAGATATGTTTGTTATAGAGTGTTTCTGACTATCTATTACATTATAGTAAAAATTTCTGACTACTCAATTTCATATTTTTGACGTTTTTCAAACTAATCTTTATTTTGTTTAATATTCATCAATATATCTAAATATCTTAGTTCAATTCCCTTTATTCCTCCACAAATTTTAATGGAATGTTTGCCCAGTACACATTTGATATGATTTTTACAGTTTTTGTTTTTCATGTTTGCTTTGGCCATTGAAAAAATAGTATCAGACAAACATAATGTACTTCTTTTCACAATCAGTGAATCCATGAAAGTTATAGAATTGTTTCAGCTATGATAAGTCTCATTCAAAAGCTTTATTACAGTTGCAAGACATCTCTATTAAATTAAGATAAAAACCTCACATCAATCTTTTCTGCTTATACCCAAGGGATTTGGACCTTTCCTATTGAGACTTTTGAGTGAAAGCAACATTCCACAACCTGAAGCCGAGAAATTATTGTAACACTTGTTAGGTTTATTTAGAAATAAATTTAAATTGATTTTAAGTGTTAGTTGTAAGATTTCACATTTTTAACATCTTGCTTGATTTCTATATATCTATTTTGCTAAAACAAATTTTCCTGGACAATTTTTCGAAAAAGTAGTTTGTTGAGAATCATACATTGATGTACAGGACTTTTGGGCTTTTTTTTTTGGATTTTTTTGTATTGTTTTTTATGAACAGCATACTGGCCTTTAACACTTACTTTAATCTGTATATATTACACTATTTTTTTTTTCAAACTTTTCTTTTTCACTTATGTACCCTTAAATTTTTTTTCGTATTAATCAAATTGTCTATTACCAAACACTATCTTTTAAGATAATCACTTCAAAATTTTAGAATAGAATATCCCACAGAAATAATTTCAATTTCATCAACATTTTGTTTCTATAAATATGAAAGAGATTTTATATTGCCATACCTGAACAATATGTCTTTCCATTATCTGTTCCAGTTCTGGACTTAACAGCATTCCCATTGTCAAATTTTCATATTTTGCCGATTCAGTTATCATATATTCATTTATAAAATGTTTTCAATAATTTTGGCCATCTTCCCAATATTCTGCCTTCTATTTATGCCTGGTTATATGCGAAAGAAACTGAAAATAGTGAGGTTTATTTGGCAAAAAATTTGACACAAATTTACATTAACAAAATTTCCATTTCAAGAAATGAGTATTGTTTTCATCACTTCACATCATGACATAAATTGTTGAATTTATATTTTACAAATTTGATTTTGATATCACTAATGCTTTAATTTGAATAGATCAGAAAACATTTGTGAGCCTACATGCTTTTCCAATGTAACAAGACATATACAACTCTATACTTAATGTATTTTCCTGTATACAATTCATGTGAAACTTGCACACTTTGGTGATTAAAACTTAACTCCCTCTCAATTCAACAAAAACAAAATTAATTTAAAATTTTTTCGATGAACAGATTTAACTTTTAAATAGCAGTATGTTGCCACATATTCCTTTGATATATAGTTATGTCCCCTTATTCTGTTTAAAGTACTTCTATACTGAATCAACAGTATATATATTCTGTTTATACAATAATAGATAAAGTGCTTTACCTTCATTTATTGAAAAAATAATTAATATTTATCCAGATTAATTCAAATGATGAGTTTTCATAAATATGAAGCATTTTTAAAACATGTACATCTAGCAGTAATTTTAACACAAATACATATAGAAGTAACAACAATGTCTGAAGGAAGGAAAGATTTGCATAAAAGTGTGAAGAGAGAAAATCAATACCAGTGAAATTTTCTTTTGATTTTAATAGCTGAAATTTTAAAAACAACAGAAGTGTTCTTTATCATCAAATTCATGAAAGTCAACACAAGGTAAGGCACAACAGTGTATTCCTGTCAGAGATTGGATTACAAATTTTTTAATCTACAGTAAAAAATTTCTTTCAATAAACATATGATATCATATAGAGTAGAGATATAAATTACTCCCCTATTGTAAAACTAATGTCCCATTCAAATGTACAATATCTACTTTGTAACTGTCATGAGACAAATTGTCAATGTGAACTGCAAGACCTCAGATAACCCAATAGCTATTAAGGGTAAATAGGAAATCAAATTATATTAACAACAAATCTAGAAATCAGATGATTTGCCTTTGTAAATGAGGATACAAACCTTGTTGTTTATTAGTGTTTTAGAAATAACATACACATCAGTATACAATACAAAAGAGATCTTCGGCTGTGTGTCTTTGTTGATGTTGGACATATCAAAGTTCACTTTGAAACAGGCGGTGTCGTCAGTCTCACGGTAAATAGCAATATCATTGTAATTGATTAAATATTTGAAAATATTGAAAAAGAAAAAAATAGTTGAAATTTTAAAAAGACATTAAAATCCTTGAATTCAAAATTCTTTTGATTTCAACAGAAAGATTTACATCATGATGAAGACCTTACAAGAAGATTTATTCAGTATGATATATCTTGCCTAGCTGAAGATGAGCAGATCCTCATTAAGAGATGTTTTTTTATAAAAAATTGAATACAAACTGTGTGTCTATTTACAGACACTTGTCTGCCGTACTTAGTTACATTGTAAATTGGTTTTTTGTTGTATTTTTGTCCTCACTAAAGGAATGTATCTTTGTTAATTAAAGGCTTAGGCAAAGTTTGTGATACATAAACCATACATATCTCTCTGTGATATTTCCTAATTAATATTCATGAAAACAGTGTAATTCTTTAATGTCTGTCATAATTTTCCCTCAGTGTTACTATAGTGATATAATAAAAGTACTTGTACTTATTCTGAGCCTGACATACTTTACACTGATCGCTATGTGCCCAGTGATCTGATTTAAGTCTCTGATTTACTTAACACTTAAGTATGATGGTTTATGCTGTTCTATCTATTTGACAAATTAATCATTCATAAAATTTCATTTTATTAAGTAAGCCCATTTGGATTTTATCAACTAAATGTACGAAGGTAGGGGTATGAAATGTTTCTCAGAAACTGCTGATAGTTGTACTCTAGTACAGTATGTTAAATGCACTTGTAAATGTAATTAAAACAAGATATTTATCAAATCCCTTGTAAGATTTCCAGATATAAGATTAATATGAAATATGTGAAGATATTAATCACATGTTGGTGTAGTTTGAAATATACAAGAGGTCTGACTGTGGGAAGACACAGGATTACCTTGTGAAAACCCAAAAGCAGACTGGGATTCTCTCTTGAAATTATTGAAACTTTCAGAAAGTATTGTAAGGTTTTACTTTTTTGTGGAAAAACCCCAGTACTTAAAACGGTAATGATACTCTAGACATGTACATGTTTAGGCAGTGTACAATTCTTACACTCGGCATCTTATGCTTTCTCCTGTGTGCTAATTTACATTAAATACTGAACTTTATCTGAAAATTTATAAAACAAAATTGTCACATATATTCTTTTTGCACTTAAAATATTTGTTTCTTGTTCTAGTTGCTAAGATATAATGATTTTCTTATATATTTCATTAGATTTGATGATTAAGACTTAAAAACTATTTCACTTTGTCATTGATTTAAATCATTCAAAATTTGTCATATGAAAACCAGAATTTTAAACTTTAACTCTAACCTTGTTTTGCACTGTATTTAGAAGTTGTAGACTGACAATATCTGTAGACTAATATTATAGAATGTGCCTTGATGTGTTTATATAGTAGTGCTTATACTAGAAAAACTTGTACATATCATACCTTATATTGTTGTATAATCATGTCCAATGTATTAACATATCTATATATGCAATGTCTGTAATTTTTGGAATTCAGATATTCAAGTCCTGTTGAAATAATCCTTTTCCTATGGGAAAGGCCCAAATTTTTAGAACTCACTATGTTTCTTAGTGTTGGGACTTTTGGAATTTTGGAAGTTCTGTTCTAAAAAATTTTCAACAAAAATTCTTATATTCCATGTGTACTTTGACTACACCTGATCTCAGTGTCGCCAATTTCTATAGTCATTTAACATCTGGTCATAAGCCTTCAAATCAAGGGTAAAGACGTGTAGTAAAGGGTTATCAAGGAAAAGACATTATAGTCAATTCTATTGTATAGTCACCATGTCGGTATGTATTTAGATGTGCTATGTTATATTTTACCGTTATTTTGACTAGAATTAGATCAGAAATTTCATTTTGAAATTTTAAATACAGGTCCTAATAAAACTTAAAGTGATTCTAGTATTTTGACAGTTTAAGCAAATAATGATAGGGTTAATATTAGGTTAGCCTGCTGTGATAATGTGGGGACACTGTTATCCACAATTATATTATGTTATACTAGGTATAATCCCAGACCACAAACACATGATCAGGAGGGGTTGATTGACTTGTTATGGTCAAATTTTTTAAGTTTTATGAAAATAATTTTTTTCATGAAAATCATGAATCAATATATGATTCTGATAATTAATCTGTTTTTTCTATTTTATTCCATCCTGAAAGAGGCTTTAGTATCTCAGCCACTTAAAGCCATACGTATGCTCAGGTGAAGATCCGAGTTGTGTAGTTTGACGCTACCTACTCATGACTGTTTGTGTTTTGCTGAAAGCTGAGAAATGGACTGCTATGCATTAGTGTGGTTGGCTTAAACAAGGCACTTTTCTGTAGTGTAATTGTCATGTGATGGGCCTCTCATATGTTGTTCAGTTAAGTTATCGCAATCTACTTCAAGAAAAATCCACATCAAAATACTCTGGCTGTTCATGGGGCGATTAACCCAGCAAATAACAAATAATCCATCCTCAAAATGTAACAAAAAAACTCAAACATTTACTGTCATTGGGGTTCCAGCAAAATTTTTCACTTTTTCTCTAACAGTCGATGATAAAGTTGATCTTTTCTTTGTCATATGATGAAGATTGTGCTGCTTTTTCTTTTAAATTTCAAACTGTATTCAGAAGCAATTTTAGTGTGAAGTTTGCGATAAAATTCATTTATAAAAAGTCATGTTTTAGGTTGGTTATATGTCTTAATATTAGGTTGGAAAGTTTCTGTCGTTAAACCATTATCAATACCAGAAAATCATAATATATTAGTCTTATAATGACAGTCATGTTGTCGGAATCAAAATGATGATTAATGAGAGTGACACGGTAAAACATGGGAAGGTTTTTTTTATATAACTCTGCACTAATTCTTAATGTAAAAATACTTATCTTAGATATATGTAAATATGATGCAGTGACTAATGTATTTAAATGTGATTATCAAAGCTTTAATATCTGTATACATGTTACTTATAGCCCATATAGAAATGTATCATATGTCTTTGTAACCCATATCATTGAAATGTATCTTGTTTCTATCACTTATACTGACAGATTATTGTAAGGTGACAAAATTTGTACATGCATGTCTTATCTATGGTCAGATTAATCCACGTTAGTCTTTGTTTAAATATAATGTTAATTCACAGAAACTTTAATCATTTCAATCTGACAAAGGTGAAATATCAATTTTCAGAAAACATTTAGTTAGTTGTACAGTTGCCTCCCTTTTCTGTGATGTTAACTATCAAAAGTTTTCTGTAAAACAAATTTTTTATTGAAGTGGAATTGATTACAGAAACATTAAATTAGTGTGCTACATGGTGGCTTTTGTATGAGAAATTAACATAAAGTTGACATTCAATAAAATACCAGTTCCTTCATTACCAAGTATTTCTGGCTGTGAAGGCTGAATACTGTAAAAACATTCATTTTCCTGGGGGATATATTTTTGTTGATTTCTTGGGTATTTCCAATCAGTAAATTTTTGTCCACACTGATATAATAAGTACAGTATAAGTAACAAGTCAAGTCCACAAAATACGGGGGAATTTTTTTTTCATTTTTGTAAAACCATGAAAATTGAAACCCCCGAAAAAAGTGATTCTATAGTATTTCAAATTTTCATAGTTTTATCAAAAACTTTCAGGAAAAAGGATATATCACCATTGAAAGTAATGAAACAGACTATAATTTCCACTAATAATTTTTTAAAAATGTATCAAGGTATTTTCACAATCGTATTTTACTCTCAAAAATAGCTGAATATAGAACTTCCAGTAACAACTTCTGCTAATTCTAATGACCCAAGTATTCCATTGCTGCTACTGTTCGAAATAAAACACGCATACAGACGTGAGTTTACAGTTAAATGCAGTTATTACAAGGACATTTATTTATTGAGGAAAGTTATTTACATAGTGTCTATTGTTAATTGTCTTTCTGTACTTGTTAATCCATTTTTTGTGTAAGTGTTTATTCGACTTATTGGACTGTTTATTTGTGACTTTTGGATGGATTTTGATTGTTGATGAGCTACGACAAAGCTTTCCAATGCCTGAATTGATAAATTAATATCTGTAGGTCCGTCCCAATTGATGTCCAAAACGATACATTATAAGTAGGGATAAATATTGTGTTCGCATAAATCAACAGATCACTGGTATCTCTATCATTAAAGTTGAGTTATAGGGATTGATGTTATTTGCACATCACAAAAATTTATAACTTTGTAAAGTGAAATATTTATTTCTTATAATTGTGAAAAAATGAGGGTCATAAATACAACGGTTTTTGTTGTAGTTGCTAGATAATTATTGGAGTAATGATCTGGTAGTAATAAGGATTTTCTTGTCATAAATGTACAATAATTTAGATTTTACTTCATTTATTCCATAATGATATATACTAATGTTGGGATGTCTTGGTGATATATTTCCATGTTTTTATCTCTATAGAAACACATATATAGGATGATAAAGATAGTAATTACATATCTGGGACAGTAAACAGGTGCCCTAAACTCAGTGTAGCAGAATATTATATTATCAACAGTAGTTACATATCTGGGACAGTAAACAGGTGCCCTAAACTCAGTGTAGCAGAATATTGTATTATAAACAGTAGTTACATATCTAGGGCAGTAAACAGGTGCCCTAAACTCAGTATAGCAGAATATTACATTATCAACAGCAGTTACATATCTGGGACAGTAAACAGGTGCCCTAAACTCAGTGTAGCAGAATATTGTATTATAAACAGTAGTTACATATCTAGGGCAGTAAACAGGTGCCCTAAACTCAGTATAGCAGAATATTATATTATAAACAGTAGTTACATACCTGAGACAGTAAACAGGTCCCCAGAGGTATAGCAGAATATTATAAACACTGCTCTCTGTTGTTGTTATCATTGTGTCATATGCTAAATCTGGTGAAAGTTTGAATAATGAGATGCATGTAGTTTGATTTTTTTATTGTTATTATTATTCTTTTTCACAGATCAGTTCTTTTGATGTCTGTTAAATATTAAATGGCCGATGTTTGAATTACATTTTAACTTTTTTCTTGTAACTATAAATCATTTAGTTAGTCTTTTATTAGATGTAGACATAAAGGCACACTGTGTTATTCAGGCATATCATATCTTAAATATTCAATTTTTCAGAGAAGGGAGCTAACTCCATTTTTCAACATAACTTAAGTCATGTATTCACCTTCACATTTTATAATTGTTAATTGCATCAGTAATTTTTGGCACACTTTTTGACGCTTTTTGAAAATTTACAATATATTCAGGATGTTCTGAATGAATCTTTTCTAGTGTGTTTACAGCTATGTGTATCATTATTTTATTTTGTGTTGGTTTGAGTATTTGTGAATGTGTATTATAATATTGCTATCCAATTTATCTATAATATGTATACATATATGTCTTTCATATTTGTGTATGTAACACTTTTATTTATTTTTTTTTGCTTGATGAAATCTATCTGTAATTCTTGAGTCTGTAGCCAAGATTTACTGTAAAATTCTAAGTAAATTTATAGAGATCTGTTTCAGATTTGTTTTTCTGAGTTAGCTATATTTACTGTAAAAATTGACTACTTACACTGATAGACTCGGTAATGGTCACACTCCTGTATGTGTAGAGCAACTGATACATTTTGCCATTTTAAAATTGACAGTAATTTAAGTAATATAAAGGTTGTTTATTTTGAAGGTTTAATTTTTTCCAAAATCTGTACACAAGATAAATTTAATTTTCAGGGAAGACATGAATGACCAATCACTTTCCCTATGGTCTTTTCATTTTCAAGGCATTATTTATTATACTCCTCCCTCCTGCTCCCCTACCCCTGATCATATGTATGTGAACCTCTGTTCACTTTGACTACAAGATCCAGGGGTGGAGGTATATCTCTGTTAGACTCTTCTCACTATGACTACAAGATCCAGGGGTGGAGGTATATCTATGTGAGCCCCTGTTCTCTTTGACTACAAGATCCAGGGGTGGAGGTATATCTCTGTTAGCCTCTGCTCACTATGACTACCTGATCCAGGGGTGGAGGTATATCTCTGTTAGACTCTTCTCACTATGACTACAAGATCACTATGACTACAAGATCCAGGGGTGGAGGTATATCTCTGTTAGCCTCTGCTCACTATGACTACCTGATCCAGGGGTGGAGGTATATCTCTGTTAGACTCTTCTCACTATGACTACCTGATCCAGGGGTGGAGGTATATCTCTGTTAGACTCTTCTCACTTTGACTACCTGATCCAGGGGTGGAGGTATATCTCTGTTAGACTCTTCTCACTATGACTACAAGATCCAGGGGTGGAGGTATATCTCTGTTAGACTCTTCTCACTATGACTACCTGATCCAGGGGTGGAGGTATATCTCTGTTAGACTCTGTTCTCTTTGACTACAAGATCCAGGGGTGGAGGTATATCTCTGTTAGACTCTTCTCACTATGACTACAAGATCCAGGGGTGGAGGTATATCTCTGTTAGAGTCCCTGTTCTCTTATGACTACCAAGATCCAGGGGTGGAGGTATATCTCTGTGGACTCTGCTCACTATGACTATTCTAGACTCTGTTAGACTCACTATGACTACTCCAGGGGTGTTCTCTTTGACTACCTGATCCAGGGGTGTAGGTATATCTCTTTGACTACAAGATCCAGGGGTGGAGGTATATCTATGTGAGCCCCTGTTCTCTTTGACTACAAGATCCAGGGGTGGAGGTATATCTCTGTTAGACTCTTCTCACTATGACTACCTGATCCAGGGGTGGAGGTATATCTATGTGAGCCCCTGCTCACTCTGAATTTATTTAGCATGATTTTTTTCTTTCCTTGCAATATTAAAATGTAGAACCCTTCAAAAATAACAACCTTTATTACAGTTGTATGACAATATCTACAGTAGTTACACAGGACTTTATTCATTCAATTTAAAACATTTTTTGACGTTTTCCGATTTTGCTTGATTAGTTTCTTGAAGAAATTGTAGAAATCTGATACGATAGATAATTATTTTGTAAAATAAGAAAAGATATTACCTTGTTAAATATGTCCTGTACCATGAGGTGTAATAAGCACAATCTACAGATGAAATTAAAGACATTATTTGTACATCGGCTAGTTCTGTTTTTAATTCTGTGGTCATCATGCAGCATGTTATCCTTTGTGATAAAACATATGAATGGTTTAATTCACAGAGGGGAGGGGGTTCCTACTCTCCTTCTGTATGATCATCATTATACCATAGTTCACGTTAGAAAGTGTGGTCACAATTTGGAGGTATTGGATGTTATTAGAATATGACTTACCTCCCTTACCCCTTTCGTCAATAGACTTTAATGATGGATATAATATATACTATAGATCACAGACGGCGCGAAAATCCTTTACATAAAACTTAACCCTATTACATTTGTGATAAAATATATGAATTATTTAATTCAAGATAACCACGTAAATGTGACACAATTTGGAGGTATTGGATGTTATTAGAATATGACTTACCTCCCTTACCCCTTTCGTCAATAGACTTTAATGATGGATATAATCTATAGAAGTCCTTTCCCCAAGATAGATTTAAGATAACCCGTAACCTATATGACACAGAGATTCGGGAACCCTTAACTGACCTGCTTTGTTTATCAAGATAGATATAAGATAAACCGTAACCTTTAACGGATTTCCTTTTTTTATCAAGATAGATATAAGATAAACCGTAACCTATATGACACAGAGATTGAATACTACCATACTGATGTTTCGTTCTTTAGGACTCGTCATTGATACTAAAGTCCTTATCTTTAAAATGCTGGAAGCGACCGAGGAAATCCAGTGACTGACACAAATATTAAAATCTAGACAGGGAGGGGCACTAATTCTATAACTATTTTTTCTTCCTATTTGATAACATCATCAAAACATAGGTACATGTGTATATTCTGAAATGTTTGAATAAAATAAAACGTAGCATACAGGGGACTAAAAAAGTCTATATGAAAAAAAGTGTAACTTTCTTAGAAGTCACGAAAGAAAGTATGGTTTTCTCTGTATTAAATCAGTTTTCAAAGTATTTGATTCAATTCCTTCTATGGAAAGACAGAACCCACAATAATAAATTAGAAGTAGTCCAGCAACATGTTACTAACAAGTAGGTATGTTGGCAGCATCAATGAAAATACCAAGATGGCAACATAATTATAATTCAAACTCAAATTCCATAAAACTAGGGCAAAATATGAACAAAAGATACATTTACACGGAGACTCTAGAAAAAGTACAAGGAGAATAAGACCATGTATTCCGGAAGAGTAAGCTACACTTGCTATGGCAACCTTAGTCAATCCAAGTAAGTAATGTCACGTTCTCAAATGAGAACAATGTATACAATAGCGGAACCAACAGGCAAACTAACGATCATCAAATACGTCCAGCTTCATGACGCATAAAGAAATACAATATTTCTCAATGAGATCACTATGGCGACCATAAAACTTCCCCATAATTTTCCTCAACCTACATCTTTTGAACCCTTGTGTTAGGAATTTGTTAGTCTGTTGAAGACTTATTGCACGAAAATCGTGATAATGGGAACATACCCTTGCATATCGAATCAACTGTGTCATGTAAACACCATAGATAGGAGATGAAGGAATATTGCTATCCAGAAAAGGAAAATTCACAACAGGGAAATTGAAATCATCTCGTTTATCATACAACTTGATGGAAAGCTGTCCATGTTGGTTTCGTTGTAGGGAAAGGTCGAGATAAGCAGCTGATGTTGAAGAGTCAGTCGTATCTTTTTTCCAGTTCTGGTGGATATATACGATAGACGCAGTCAATACATTTCTTGTTATTTAAAGAAAAGACGTCGTCAATATATCTGAAGGTGAAATTAAACGATTTTGAAAGGTTTATTCTCCTTGCTTATTAAGATGCTAGACCAATAATCTTTACCATTTGGGGTCATGAGATGTCAACCGCCAAATATGCGGCGGGATAAAACTGTAGAATCTTATGGTAAAATACTGATGACAACAAGTTCATCTTCTTCATCACGCGATGTCGTCACTATCTTCACAATCACTGTATTTAACGGGCTGCCCAAAGTTACAATGTACCAGTATTGGACTCTGCACCACTGGATAACAACTTTGTGGAAAATCAACAATCAAAACTAAAATACTGATGGGTATATGCTATCTCCGTTAGAAACGTACGTGTTCTTTATGTGAAGAATCAGAGGGAGACGTCTCACATTTTATGCAGCACTGCCCAACACTTGTACAGAGAAAAAGACTTTAAGAGATATCAATAACTGTTTCCAAGAAAACTACAACAGTCAGTACACGAATGGGGAAGGCAGTCTTTGTTTCAACACGGTACTTAATACCAGCATACAAACGATGTCAGTAATTCTATGAATTTAAGCAACATATCAGAATAGTGAAACAATACAGGTGTCATGTCGTACACATGAAATGTATTGTTCTTCTTTGGGTCATTCTACTTTTGTTACGTTTGTCATTCGAAAGTTTCCTGCAGCTGATACTAATATTGCTGAATTCTGCTGTCGGTATATATAACATATATACGATATACCATTTGTTAGTGTTTAAAGCATTATTCCAGCGATTTCGTTAACAGATACATAAAGCGCTGTCTATTCAGATTAACCTACATCTTTAGTCTGTTCGTCTTAAAGTACTGATGTGTATTGTGGGCTACTTTTAATGTCTTAGTCCTGACTGTAATGGTAAACGTTATTCTTGAAAGTTGTTGTTGAAGGCGTATTACCAGCAATTCAACCATAATAGGTGATATGTGGAAACTAGAACAGTTTCAAAACCTGTTCACGTTGGTAGCGCAGAAGAGTTGTACTTTTTGCTACTGTTGCATGACTAAATGAGGGATGGAATGTTTTTTCTGTGTTTCTTATGTCTCCCCTCAACACTTCCCTACGCTTGACCTCGATCTGAGCGTTCGCCCCTCTGATGAAGGTTTTTTATGGTTTTGTACTGTGGCCGAGACATACCAATGTTTATAAGATTGTACAAAAGATACAGACGAATGGTAGTTATATTCTCTTGTTTACCTGTTGTCAGTATAATGCGACTGGATGGACTGTCCAGATGGGGGCTGTTAGCAGTGCCATAGCAAAGACTTTGTAGGCCTTGGTAAATGCTGATTTGCAAATTTCAATAGAGATAAAACAGATATTTTCTAGGTTATGATCAATGCTGGTCTACAACAGAGATGGTCAAACTGATGGTCAAACTGATGGTCAGTGTGGCATCAGCCAGTATTAATCATTATACGTCTCAGTCAAGTATTTCATGTCTATCCACACACAAGGCAAGATGGAGGAGTCCCACGTATCCCAGAAAGTGATGCTGACCTACGCGTGGGTACACGTTGTCACCTTTTTGCTTTAAAAAGACGTCGTGGTAAATGGAGAAATAAGTAAGTAAATAAGCGATTTCTTAGACAAGGTTTTTGACGAGATTTTTGACGAGTTATTTTCCTTTCAGTTCGGGTACTCATAACAGATCACTAAGTACTATCAAAGCTACAAGATGTATAGTCATAGGGTGGAACACGTGATCTTTAGAGTCTTATTTATTGATGGAGAAGATTTCGGGGATAAGGCAGACAACGATTACGTCATGTGGGAATCAGTCACTGACCTACTTATAATAAGGCAGACAACGATTACGTCATGTGGGAATCAGTCACTGACCTACTTATAATAAGGCAGACAACGATTACGTCATGTGGGAATCAGTCACTGACCTACTTATAATAAGGCAGACAACGATTACGTCATGTGGGAATCAGTCACTGACCTACTTATAATAAGGCAGACAACGATTACGTCATGTGGGAATCAGTCACTGACCTACTTATAATAAGGCAGACAACGATTACGTCATGTGGGAATCAGTCACTGACCTACTTATAATAAGGCAGACAACGATTACGTCATGTGGGAATCAGTCACGGACCTACTTATAATAAGGCAGACAACGATTACGTCATGTGGGAATCAGTCACTGACCTACTTATAATAAGGCAGACAACGATTACGTCATGTGGGAATCAGTCACTGACCTACTTATAATAAGGCAGACAACGATTACGTCATGTGGGAATCAGTCACTGACCTACTTATAATAAGGCAGACAACGATTTCGTCATGTGGGAATCAGTCACTGACCTACTTATAATAAGGCAAACAACGATTACGTCATGTGGGAATCAGTCACTGACCTACTTATAATAAGGCAGACAACGATTACGTCATGTGGGAATCAGTCACTGACCTACTTATAATAAGGCAGACAACGATTACGTCATGTGGGAATCAGTCACGGACCTACTTATAATAAGGACAAAACTTCATCTTACATTTATTTCTTCTCTCAAGGATTCTAGAAATCTAACAGGACAGTTACGTAAAACAAAATATTTCATCAAGCATGCGGTCAAAACAAAATTACGACGAACAGCAGCATTACATAATGAAATTCTGAAGCATAAGCGCTGTCGAGGAGATTCAGCACTCGAATGGGTTTACCACAATGCACGTGACTTCAATATCAGTCACGAGGATCGGGGCAGTGGCAGGAATTGTAATATGATATACAGATAAAGATGGGTAAAACTAATGTACAATTACGTGTTTAAACTGATGTACAAGTATGTGTTTAAACTGATGTACAAGTACGTGTTAAAACTGAAGTACAAGTATGTGTTAAAACTGATGTACAAGTACGTGTTAAAACTGATGTACAAGTATGTGTTAAAACTGATAAACAAGTACGTGTTAAAACTGATGTACAAGTATGTGTTAAAACTGATGTACAAGTACGTGTTAAAGTACGTGTTAAAACTGATGTACAAGTACGTGTTAAAACTGATGTACAAGTACGTGTTAAACTGATGTACAAGTACGTGTTAAAACTGATGTACAAGTATATGTTAAAACTGATGTACAAGTACGTGTTAAACTGATGTACAAGTATGTGTTAAAACTGATGTACAAGTATGTGTTAAAGTACGTGTTAAAACTGATGTACAAGTACGTGTTAAAACTGATGTACAAGTACGTGTTAAA